TTTGCATTTCTTGTTGTGTTAATCAGTTTGGATGAAAACAAAAAATAAATCCGCTAACACCTGATCAGCTTTGTGGCTACAAGTTATCAACAGTCTTTACTCTTCGACTGTTTGAAGGGTTTCATCATGAGAATATAGCGCGACCACTTCACGATGTCTTCTTCGATAAGTTACTGCCTCACCTTCAACCTGCTGTAACCTACTGGTGACGACTTCCCACTAGAACCCCAGGTCACTGTCTGAATACGGCCAGTCGTTAGTAAACATCAGGCCATTGAGAAGTGGTTGTGCTATGTTATGAATTGTCAGAAGTTAGAATCACCGGTTAGCAATGAACAATCGAGTCCAAGTGGCTTAATGGTCTACAAGCTGCTAGCTTTGTAATCAGAAAGTTGTGGTCTCGAACCCTGGCAGTGGGTGGATGCGCACTGCCGAAGAGTCCCAAACTTTGTCGACAAGACATCCGTCCAGTACTCCCAGTTGGTTTTCTAATGGTTCCCTTCTCTAACTGATGTCAGCTCATGATGAAATCCTCCAAATCATCAAACAAAAATCCCTACAGAACCAATACTTGGAAAGTCTTTACTGTTATCTTTACAAAGTCTCAAATGTCTTTAAGATGAATACTAGTTATGCCCTTCCAGAAATAGATGGTTGGTTGTATAGAATTGCAGGTGGCGATTGCGTGTATCAATTCGTCTGTATAAGACTCAATATATACCCCTTAGTATTCCTTTTGAATATTAATAACCTCGCTGAGACTTTAGCTAATAGTTTTTCCTATCACCGTAAACCTAGACAACTCATCCCTTAATATGCTCAAACTGAGATGAGTAAATAAAAAGACAGAAATGACGACAGTGTATCGACAAGTGTCACGATTTTTTCCTTACTATAACAGACTCACTCAGTCAAGCAGCATACACAGACAACTGCAGACTGAGAACCAATCGAGCAGGGAGTGTTCTGCCCTCTAACTCAGCACTATCTTTACAACACCAGAAAGTTTATGCAGGACCAACCAAAGAATCTTCAATACTGTTTAACTTGAGAAACACATGAGTGAGAGACAGTCCTTTTGGTTTCTCTATGAAAATTATGCGGATTTTGATTTCAGTCAACAGGAACAACTAATTGGTGGATGGTGACTAGCAGTGGAATCCAGGATGCACATTCCGTTCTGTTTGGTAACCGTCAGCTGGATAGGCCTGCATTCTGCAGTGAGTCAATGATGATGTTCCTACCGAGGCTGGAGATCGAGCAATTTGGTCGAATTAATCAGTCGACGGGAAAATCTAAAAGTGAATTAAACAGAAACATGATTTCATCATGAGCTAAAATTAGTTAGAGAACCATTGGAAAACCAACTAGGAGTACTGGACAGATGTTTCGTCCTAGTTTGGGATTCTTCATCAGTAAGCACCAACCGGGGTTCGAACCCAGGACCTTCCTACAAACCAATACTTGGATATCAATGAGATGCTCACTGACGACTAACCCTATTCAGGTAGGTAGTTACCTGGGGTTCCAGTGGGAAGTCGTGACCAGTAGGGTGTAGCAGGTCGGGTGTAAGAACAAATACTCGCCAAAGACAGTGGCTAGAGGTCATGCTATTTCGTGAATTGGCAGAAGTTAGAATTCATGGGCTGGTCATTGTATTGGCGGGTCCCAGTTTCTGGCTTAATGGTCTACGAGCTCGCCTTGTTACCAGAAGGTTTTGGGATCGAACCCCGGTGGGCGCGTACTGATAAAGAGTCCCAAACTGCGCTGACGAAACAGCTGTCCAGTACTCGAGTGTTGGTTTTCCAATGGTTCTCTAACCACTGGACAGCCAGCTGTTTCATCAGCCTGCTTTGTGTTTCATCAGTAGCGCCCACCCATCCCACTGACAGGGTTCCAGCTCACTACCTTCTGGTTATAAGGTGAACTAGATCCATAGACCATTCACCCACTGGGACCCGACCCAACAGTCCATGAATTCCAGCTTCTGCCAATTCGTGCAACTACCAACTGGTGTCATAGGCGAGTATTTGTCCTCTTGCCTGACAGCCACAGCTTGTGATCGATCCTGTAACCAATCGGATCTTTGCAAACTGACAAACACTTGACAATTATGGATACAGACAATTAAAACTATGAGTTCAACTGGGAAACTTTTAAAACTATTAGAACAAGTACCGGTTTTGTAGGGATTTTGTTTGTTTGATTGTTTGGAGGATTTCATCATGAATTGACAGAAGTTAGAATTCATGGACTGGCCACTGGATCGGTTGTGTCCCAGTGGCCTAATGGTCTACAAGCTCGCCTTGTAACCAGAAGTTCCTGGGTTCGGACCCCAGTGTATGCGTACTGCTGGAGAGTCCCATACTGTGCTGGCAGAACAGCTGTCCAGTACTCCTAGTTGGTTTTCTAATGGTTCTCTAACTGATGTCAGTTCAAGATGAAACCCCCAACCTATTAGAAGAAGTAAAAAATTTTAAGCAACACAAAGAAATCTTGAAAACCTGATATTCTCATGAAGTGAGACATAACAGGCACATAAATTTAGACACAACGCATACTTACTACTGAAAATAGAATTTATTGAAAACAAGGGAAATATGGAAAAATGTATCTGTTATGAGCAATTATTATTTATTACTGTCTCTTTGGGTTCGGAGTGGAATATAGGGCTTCAACAACACATCTTCACTTTGTTCTGTTTTCTGCGGTCCGCTAAAGATGAGCTCACGACTGCCCATAGTCTCTCATCTCCTCCTCTCATGATTGCTCCATGTCATCGTCTCACCAACGACCCACATGTCGTTTCCCGTTCAGGTTGCACTCGTTACGGTGCTTGATACGCGATGTCATTCAACAGTCTCCTCAATGGCGTGTGCCCGATCTCTATCTCCATTTTCTCCTACATATCTGCTGATCGATAGGTTCTTGGTTAGCTGAGGGTGTTGAGAGTCAGACAATTGAAGATTTAGACCATTTCTCATATGAGTTCAGTTGTCTGCTGATTACAGTAGAAACGAACTGATTGATATACAAGGCACATCATTTGCCTGTCCCACTGACACAACCATTAATATACCCTTCAAGATATGACACAGTCCTTTCTGATTAGCCCAGGAAAGATTAAGGTGGAACAATAAAAATAATAGCCAAGAGGCAAAAGTTGAAAAATTTTTTAAAAGTAGAGGTTAAGTGAACCATGGCTGTCTTAACTTCTTAATGTAGAAGGTTAGACGGAACACTTTCTTAGAAATCAACAAGATATTGGATGACAGGACAAGAGAGGTCAGAGGATAAAACTATTTCAAGCTATTTTATGCTTAACTTAGTTTGCAATTTCAGTGCCTTCTATGCTACAAGCATCAGATCAACTGACCAGTTTGTGCAGATCATGTTTACGCCTAAACATGAAGTTAGTAGCCTGACATTTACAGGGATTTGAGGTGAAGCCACTGGCTGATGTCTGGCGAAAAGCTATTCAGTTTGAAACAGTCAGACTGGAACGTAACCAGCAGTGAAACGGTCAGATCATCAACGCATTTAACGGAGTTGATTTCATCCGAAAAGGGTAAGTCATGTTGGAAGAAACAGAAAAGAAGAGAAGAATCAACCCTGTGAGACACCTGCTTCAATAAACAAGGCAGAGGAAGATTCGCCTTTATATATACAGTGTACTGTATTCTTTTAGAGAAACAAGAATGCAACCAGTTAACCGTCCAGGAATCAGTTGGTGTCACAGAAGACTTATTTGACAAAAGGTATCATCAGAAAGAAGCTTTATCCTTTGGACTTAAATTTTGTGTTCCTCGCACGCAATTTTGCGGATTTAGCCATCCATGCTGAGTTTGAAAACGTAAATGACCAACTGAAATCTCTTGCCGCAACATCCGATGAATATCGGGGTTGGTTTAAGGCCAATATGAAGGACATATAGCTCACCACTTTTTAAACAACAACCCAAAGGAGAAAAGTATTTGAAATTCCCAGCATTTCAGAGCTTTGAAAGAGCTATGTGAAAATTCTAATATACTTAATTACTAGAAAACGTGATAAAGGTTCTGAAGTCGTCATTCTGAATGATTAAAAGTGACTACAAATCTAAAAAATGATGTCTATTCATGATGATAAAAGCAAATTTAACCGTGATCCCTCCTCAGAAGATATTCAGTTGTTGCAGGAAGGCACAATGACAGTTAATCTTCAGTGAAGCTTCATGGCCTAAATGCTATAAGCAGAGATAAATTTGACTCTTTAAAATCATTAGAGTGTAAATTCCTCCACATGTATGGTTTCCCAAAAATACATAACGGATCAGAGACTTGGGGCATCATAGAGAGCACCTCAAACAAACTTCAGACCTTTATCAACAACTGTCTTCACTCAATACTCAAGATCAGACGGACGACCAGAAAAGATCAGCAATAGGGATCTCTAGGAGCAAACCAACCAGGAACCGATTGTGCAACAAATCTGCAGGAAGAAATTGAGATGGATTGGCCATCAAGTGGCATCACTAGACAAGCCATCGCTCGAGTGGAACCCGAAAGGGAAACGGCGAGTTAGTCGTCAGTGTGAGGGTGACATAGCGGAGGAGGTCATGTGAAAAGAGGATGAAAACATGCGGGCAGACGTGGAGCCAGGTGAAAACTCTAGCGGAGCACTGAACGTAACATAGACGCTCAGCCGAAGCCGTATGTTCCTCTAGGAATTAAAAGAAATAATAATAATCCTCTACCTTCTATATTGTCAATGTGCAAATCCCCCTCCCCCACCCCCAACATATAAACTTGCTATATGCTGGTTAGTAGAATTATTGCATCCAGTCAAAACACAATTCTGTAAGTATATGTTAAAAGATACATTTGAACTGTTTAGCTTTCTTGACTATATTAATATTATGAATAAGAATATTATGTACTCTTTTGATGTAAAACGCGTTATTCACTAATGTGCCTTTGCTTTTTCTTTCTTTACATTTTATTTCTCTTTTAAATCATTAGATATGTTAAGTTCACGATCGAGTGGTAGAAGTGGACGTCAAATAGAATCGGGAAAAAGAACAATACGTTTAAGACAAGATGGTAAAGTTGAAGAGAGTGAAGTAAGCATTAAAACAAAGCATGATTTATTAGATAGATGTCTAACACCCCATATTCAGATGATTTCCTGTATTAAGTAGTTTTATTCTTTTTTTCAACATACTACTTATCTGGAATTCTGACAAAATTTATCAGTAGTATGTATATGAAGAGACGTTTATCTCAGCACAAAAATATCAAATAGCTGAGAGATATCTTTTGACGTGTCAAACAGAGTAAATGCACAACCAGTGCATTGCAGAAAAATATGGGAGACACCAAATGAAGACAATACGAAGGACAGAAAGTCTGAGTAAATGACGATTTTCATATAGAGACATCGAATTTCCTGTAAACACTAAGTTTCTTGTCTTCTATCGCGATAAAACTCAAACAGTATTCGAGTATTGGTTTGTAGGGATTCGGTTGATTGGTTACAGGATTTCGTCATGAGCTGACATTGGTTAGAGAACCATTGGAAAACCAACACTCGAGTATTGGACAGCTATTTCGCCAGCGCAGACTTGGACTCCTCATCAGTACGCACCCACCGAGGTTCGAACCCAAGACCTTTTGGTTACAAGGCGAGCTAGCTCGTAGACCATTAAGCCAGCCAATGGGACCCACCAATCCAATGGTCCATGAATTCTAACTTCTGCTGATTCACGACATAGAGCGATCCCTAGCCAATGTCTTCGGCGAGTATTTGTATTCGAGCTCGCCTTGTTACCAGAAGGCCCTGGTTTCGAACCCCGGCGGGTGCATACTGATGAAGAGTCACAAAGTGGGACGAAACAGCTGTCCAGTACTCCTAGTTGGTTTTCCAATGGTTCTCTAACTAATGTCATCTCAAGATGAAATCCTGTAACCAATCAAACAGTATTCTTCACTTCATTAGCTATATATGCCATCTGAGTTCTCCTGCATCCTATATAACCATGGCTTTTTCTGACGAGATCCGAGTCAAACCAAGAAGGGTATTGGATCTTTAGTGTTTGGGACGTTCACTTGACAGACTTATTGCCTTTTTTGTTAATCTCTCTTCTTGGAAATTGTTCAAAGAAAACTTGTTTTTACGCCACCGTCAGCCAAGAACGTGTTATATTTCCTATTCATTTGGTCAGAGTTAGCATTCACAAGCAAAAAGAGTCCCGAGTTCTAGTGAGAAGTCGTGATCAACCAGTGGAGTTCATCAGGTAGGGTTTGAGGACAAGTACTAGCCACTGATGACACTGGCTGGTGCCAGCCATGCTAAATTCACTAAATGGTAGAATTCATGGATTAGTCATTGGATCGGATACCATTGCCCGAATCGTCTACAAGCCAGCCTGGTTTATAACTGGAAAGGTAGTGGAATTTTGCAATCCTTGACGTTAGGTAGGTGTTGGTTTTCCAATGCTTCTTTAACCGATTCCAACGTTCATGATGATATCCTGTAACCAATCAAATCGCTGCAACACTGAAGACGAGATAAAAGGGGCTAACTGGCTAATAGATTTGGTGTATGAATAACCGAAAATATCTCATGATTGTTTTGATCATATCCGTTAAAATTGTAAAGATCATTGATCAATGTTTTGGTTGTAGATTACTGATTTTAGAGAATTCTTAAGTGCTCGAGCCTTCTTGAACTCTTCCTGACACAGATAAAACTTTTAAATAACTCCATTATCCTATATTGTTCATGATTTGGTTTCTTCAGACGGCTTAACTACCGGAATTATGTCATATTAGGTGTTCAGTTATGTCTAACCTCCACTGTGTTCAAATCTCATATAAAATATATAAACGAACAAATGAGGTGCCAAAGGAATAACCAGTCAACCAGCCATCGAACCAACTCTCTCAGAGATAAACCTTGTCGGCTTAAGGACCCATCAGAGAAATCTAATTAAGCAAAATAACATAATTCACATGATACCATGTAATGACTGGGGGGTGAGGTCGATTATATAGACCAGTCAAACTAGTAGATCGCTTTCAATTAGATTAATGGGACATAAAAATCTTAACCAGACGTAGAATGACTGACCCTGTAAAGTTAATTACCCCACAAAAATCGGAGCTCAACCATTGCATTGCATCCACTTGCGTGTAATCACAGAGAATCAGCAGACTTGATGGCATCACTAATGGAGAAAGTGTAGAAAGAGGGCAAGGTACCTGCGGATTGAAAGAAAGGCTGCCTATTCAAACTGCTGAAGAAAGGAGACTTAAGTCAATGCAAGAACTGGCGCGGCATTATTCTCCTGTCCATCTCAAACAAAATACTAGACCGCATCATCCTGGAGAGAATCAGTCACGCCTTAGATGGAAAACTTAGACTGAAACAGACTGGATTTAGGAGAAACAAGTCGTGAATCGACCGAATCACAACACTACGGATCATCACCGAACAGAGCCTGGAATGGCTGTCAGCCGCCTAACTTTACCTCATCTTCATTGACTTTGAAAAGGCCTTCAGCAGCGTCGATGGAGAGGTGATTTGGAAACTACTTAGCTACTACGGGGTGCTTCCAACAACTATACATTTTATGCAACAGTTGTACGACAATGCTGAGTGCCAAGTAATCCACAACGGGAACCTCGCGGAATCTTTCGAAGGGAAGACGGAAGTAAGACAAGACTGGCTGGCTGCCTGCTATCTCCAATGATTTTCCTGATTGCGAGCGGTAGACTGGATAATGCCACAGACAGTGGGTCTGATAACAAGGAGACAGGCATAAAATGGGCCCACAAAAAAAATTGGAGGATCTGGACCTCGCTGATGATATATGTCTGATTTCCCACAAACTGGAGATATGCAACTGAAAAGCAACAAGTTTGCAGAAAAAGCATCAAAGGTAGGCCTTCAGGTGAACATAGAGAAGACAGAGGTAACGAAGAATCCTGGCCAACAGCAATACCGACGACAGCAACAGACAACAATCAGCATACATGGGAGGAATCTGAAAAAAGTAACCTCCTTTACCTACCGACTTAGGAAGCATCCTTTCAACTACAGGCGTAACTGACGAGGATATGAACGCGAAGGTCAGGGGGGGCGTGGTAAGCTTTCATTACTCTCAAGTCTTGGTGGACATCAACAGCCCACTCAGTATGAAAATTAAGATCCGGATTTTCAACTCCAATGTGTAGTCAGTGCTACTATACGGATCAGAGACTTGGCGCCGCTTCACGAAATGCACTTCAAACAAACTACAGAACTTCATCAACAACTATCTTCGCTCAATACTACTACGCAAGATCAGATGGCCAGAAAAGATCAGCAATATGGATCTCCGGAAATGACCGAACCAACCAGGAACCGATTGTGCAAGAAATATGCAGGTAGAAGTGGAGGTGGATCGGAGGCCACACTCTGAGAAAACAAGTCATCGAGCGACATCACAAGCCAAGCCATGGCTCGAGTGGAACCCGAATGGGAAGCGGCAAGTCGGTCGTCAGGATCAGGGTGACATGGAGGAGATCATATGAAGAGGAGATGAAAGCATTTGGGCAGACTTGGAGCCAGCTGAAAACGTTGGCGGAGAACCACACGCAATAGAGACTTGGGCGGCTAAAGCCCTATGTTCCTCTAGAAACTAAAGGAAACACTAATAATCACAAAATAGGGCTGCTGGGACAGGGTGGAAGTATTGAAAGATAATATAGTTAGGTGAAGACAGAGTTTAATATATGGCAGTCAGCAAAGGTTAATATGACAGGATTTAATGAATTCATCAAATATCGGTAGAACTCCTCAGCTGAATACTCTACAAACAAGGATACTGAAGGCCGGTCAGGGTAGTAGTAGTGGCTGGACTTGCTTCTTTTGCGCACAAAGCACTGATTGTTTCATGCGAATCGTGATAGCCTCTCCTGTTTGGAGTTTTCGGTACCTCGATATTTTTGACAATTTATTTAGTACCCGACAGATGATAGAGGAGGATTCTTCAATGCTGGCTGGCTTTGTGGCCGGTTTGGACCAAGTGGTCTAATACCTGCTCGTGTGGAGCCAAGTATATTGGCCGTACTCAGCGTTCGCTATCCAAACGCGTCAACGAACATTTACCTTCAGGGTTTTATAAAGGAGAAAACCGATGCCCTCGCAGCTCGATCCTTGAACATTTGATCGACTCTGGACACCAAGTCAAACCAGAAACAAACTTCAAAGTCATCTACAGAATACAGGGCAATCTTGCTAAAAGTGTACGGATCAAACTTCTCCACATCGCAGAAGCAATGGCAATTCATCTGCTAAATCCTAAACTCTGCATACAAAAGAAATTCGTTCATTAATTAAATCTACAATGGACGTAATCTTTCTTAACTTCAGTCTTACTAATTGTATTATTTTGTCTTTTTCACTTTATTTTATCATTTTATTATTTCACATCTTCATTTATATTATTCTCTACCCCACCCTTTTGTAATTTATACCCTCATTAACAATGTTGCTAACTTGACCCACGTCCAATTTTTAGTCAACTATGTTACATCACTCGATTAACTTACTTATTTTCAACTGTATTATTCTCTAACCCCACCCTTATTTAATTTTAACCACCACTCATTAACACTGTTGCCAACCTGACCTACTCTGAATTCTACTCAACTGTATTACGTCATCCAATTCACTTAATCAATTCTATTTTATTTTCTATCTTAACGTTTGTCTCCAAGCCAAATAATACTTACATTACATAATTATCTAAACTTTATAAATCTAATGTACACACACACAAACAAATTTGTATATATATGCGATTGTACAGCTCAGTGAATGAATTCACCGAAAAGAGTCTCTTCGCTGAACGCCTTCTTTTCTTTTATAATATCGAAATGTTGGTGGTGGTTTTGACCACACCTTTACTTAGCCATACTGGGAGATGTTCTCGAGCGAGCACGAAAAATCAAGTTTCTAGAGCAACTGCTGATATAACTACCTCCACCATAAGTTCAGTTGAATTGGTAGATTAAATTAGAGGTGCTAGTCTAGTCTAGGTATTTCATCTTTCAATTGAGGAATCACCATCGGTCA